TCGAGAAGTCCGAGACCTTGGCAGCCTTAAAAGCCGCTCGCAAGTCTTCTTCATCTTTTGTCACCCTCTCCAGCTCCTCCTCGACGGTGGTGGTCCTGGCAATAACCTGCTCCAGCATCTCCTTGTTGGTGATGCACTCTTGAAGATCGCACTCGGCCACGCCCTCTGCCTTCTTCCTCTCCCACTTCAGCTTGAAGCCCTCGATCACCTCCATGAACCTCCGAGATATATCCTTCCGGGCCTCACGGCAGGCTTGGCGGATAGCATCCTCGCGCTTGCGGATTATTCGGAGGTTGTCCTCCCTCGCGTCTGAGGCTTCATGGAGAGCTCGCACCGTCTCAGCTTTAGCCGCGAAGATCTGGTTGGTGGCAACCTTGAACTTCTTGCTCTTGTCAACCAGCTCGTTCTCGAGTTCGGTGATGTGGGCTTGCTGGCCTCTGAACTGCTTAAGGAGGTTAGTTTGGCGAGTGACCTGCACAATCGCAGCCTCAAGGTGGGACTTCAGCTTGCCGACTACCTTCCCCATCTCCTCGATCTCCTCCAGGCGAGGGACGTCCCACAGCTTCTGCCTGAGGCGAGCATAGAGCCGGTTCCCAGCCTCTGAAGCCTGCGAGCATCGAGGACCAAAACGTTAAGACAAACAGCACTTAACCGAACATACAAAGTAAAAGGTACACCATTTACTTTTCCTTGGGCCGACGCCATCTCCACATAGAGCTCTCTCTCGGTCATCTTCTTGAGAGCCGGAAGCTGGCACCCAGCAGGTTTAAAGTGACGCCACATGGCCGCCATGCCCTCGGAGTCATCCGTGATCAGATGATCCATGGTGTGCTCGAACTTCCAGTGGAAAGGCCGACTACTTGTCGAGCCACCACTCCCGCTAGACGCCGATGGACGCGACTCTGTAGCTCGGCTTCCCCCGTCGTCTCTTGGCCTCTTGGAGGAAGGTTGGGATGAGTGCTCAGGCTCCTGGTCTTCAACGGAGCGCTGGGTCTTGCCCGAGCTAACGAAGATCGCCCCCACTAATCGAGGAGGGGGTCGGGCGGCGGGTTCAGCATCTGCTCAACCTCTTCATCACGGAGATGAGGTGTGGGAGCAACAGTAGAGGCGAGCGTGGCCTGGAGGGCCTCCTTGCACTCCTGGAGCGTACCCTGGAGCTGCTGGGACCAGCCGGAGCTTTCTCGGTTCTCTGACGAAAGTTGGCTTGCGAGACATGGCTGAACTTGAACTTGCTGAACTAGAAGAAAGCGGGAGAGAACGGAGAGGAAGAACTCCAGCTGCCAGCAAAACAAACCATTATGTATCACTTTTCTGTGATCCAATAAATAAAGGTTGTAGCACTAGCCCAACAGAAAGACTAACCAGGTGCAACGATCAGAGTCGGGACGGGCGAAGTAAGGACTCGTCGAACTCGTCCTCGCGTGAATGTGCTCCAGACAACTTCTCCTCGCCTGAATAATTCTAACCGGTGCTCAACGTTGGGATCCCTCAGTCTCTTGGATAGCTGACCTAATAGACAAAAACAAGAAAGAGTCAGAAATCCAGTCGAGAAATACAAAGCAAATTTATCTAGCAAACGTCTATGCCTAGCTAGACAACCGCTGCCCGCGAACTCGGTCGGCAGTCGGATGAAGTCGAAGCTCCCGATGGACGCCTCGTTGACCCTGAATTTGAACCCGGTCTTCTCCCAACCGGATTCTTCTCCGGACTCTCTTTGATGAACCACCGGTTCAACCTCGGGGACGCGTAGAAGGTCCCGGGACGGCGGGTGTTGTATTTGACGAAGAAAAACGCTCTCAAGTCTGAGTAGCGCAAGATAACGTTCTCCTCTCGGGCCTGCATGTCACATCCGATGATGGCCCAAACCAGATTCGGGCACATCTGCGGGAAAGCCAATCGCAGGTCCGCCAGCACCTCGAGGACGAACCGGGGGATTGGAAAGAACAGCCCGCAATCCCGGAAGTATGTCGTATACGCGCAACAAAAACCCGGCTCCACGTTTGCTGGAGTCTCTGCTGACGTCAAAACTGCCGGCTCCACCCCATCAGGGATCTCGCCTTCTCGACGGAAGTCATCGAGAACCTTTTGGTCGTTGATTTTAGAGGTACCCGGAACTACGGCGTTCCTCCCGGAGCCTTCTCCTTTGATTTTTACAATCGCCGATATTTAAAAGAAAGAAAGGAGAAGAAGACGATAGATACCAAACCCTTAAAAAACGAGAAAAAGGTCGAAGTCTTTTCGAAAAGCAAACGAAAGATTCAGCAAGCGATCTCTCAAAAACCTTCTTTTTTAGAAATCGCGACAAATAGCAGTTGCAGAAAATAAAAGAAAGGGACGAGGAGAGGTTACCTTTAATCATCGAACTAGTGCGGTTAAAGAAGGAGTGGAGAAGGTGGACTTTATATCTTGGTAATTTTGCTTACCTCGTAGATCGCAAAAAATCTGGCCACGAGCAAATCTCTGCCGTCCGATTCCGAGATCTCAACCGTTGAATATTCGGTTCGACGAATCTGGCCTGCTGCAGAGCCCGATTAACCAAAGCCGTCAGATCATCTCTCTCTCTCTCTCTCTCCATCTGGACCCTCCACGTCAAGAAGCATCTGCGCGAATCCTCTTGAGGGCTGCACCTTGCTCCGGGAAGCTCGACCGCCGAAACAGAAAAGTAAATAACAGTATTTACTCCGAATCCCAACCGTCCATCTGGACGTGATAATAACAAATTTATCTCAACACGCCAAGCTACGGTTTCGAGGTCGATTCTCGACCACACGATCAACAGACTGTTCACCTTTCCAAGATCTGAACTGTTGAGCTCGAATGATTATCTGACTCAACGACGTCAGCAAAATCGGACACAAAATATTTCAAAAGTCACATCTTCCCGCCCATTAAAGCTCGAGCTTGCTCTCGTTAATGGGCTGGGGGGCAATTGTTGGAGCTGGATTTAGCACCCTAAATCTGGCCAACTCAAGCCCAACAGGCAGATCCAAACTAAGCCAAATTGATCGGGCTTTGACCATGCGATCCAGGAACATTCAGTCTCAACGATCCAATCCTGAACAACAAAAGTTCCGTTCGACGGGACAAGATCCAGCTCGACCAAATCCCGAGAAACAAGGAAGGATCCGAGCCAAGTCAAAGCATATTCTCGCCAGTTCAAACGAGTCCGAAGATTGCGGAGGAAGCTGCTATACGTGGCGAGATTTTCGGCTGAAGCTGCTGCAACGTGGCCGAGATACGCGCTGGAGTTCGAAGCTCAACGAAGTGAGCTATATAAAGGAGACAAACGGCTTAGTTTAAGGGACCTTCGGCTTGATCTTCTTCTACACTTTTTACACACAAAATCCTTGTAACTGCTCCCAGAGTTTTCTTTAATTCATAAATTCCATCAAAATCTTTGTAACCGTTTCATTCAACCGATTAATACCAAATCCTTATTTCAGTTAATGCTTGCTTATACAGTCAATCTGTTGGAGAGAATCTAGTCTTGAATTCTTCTGAGTCTCTTCTCTTACAAAAACACATAAATTTCTGAGTGTTGATTTCTGTATCCACAATATCTATAATATTTTCTTACAGTTTGTGTAATTGACCCCGTTAAAAAATTCTATTGACCCTATGCACTTAAAGTCCACGATGCTCCAATTGAAAATGTTTACTATACAAATTAAAATATTCTTATCCACATCAGTGTAAACATAAAAAAGAACAAGCAAATATTATTTCACTGATATGGATATGAATATTTTAAAATGTATAGTAAACATTTTCATCTAGTTATTTCTCTAAAAAAATAACGACATATGAGGCAATTTAGGATTTTATGTTTTTCGATTTGGAGGGATTTGAAAGATTGTAAGGATTGAATGTTACAATTGAAAGGGTTCATCTTTGCAAAGCAATACCCGTCGTTGCATTTTCATGGCAAATCACTCAGCTGTCAAAGTAGATCGATTGGATGGAAAAATTTGGAGAAAATGAAGAATTGTCTTCGTACGACTACATATCCATGATAAAGGAGTGTCGGATTATGGATTGGCTCTGAGGATCTCGTTTTGGGGTCAATTCACTCCATCAATCTCCAAGAATCAAAGTCTTAAGCAAGAAATTGGGTTAAGGAGTTGGGAAGTGGATTCAAGGACCCGACATCAATATAACTTGAGGAGTGCGAAGGAATGGGGACACAGGTGGAGCAGAAAGGGATCAAAGTGGATTCAGATTGATAGGATGATATTGAGAAATCCTAATCAGACAGTTGTGTTGGTGAAAAATTACTTCAAATCCACGCTTACAGTTAGAGAAGGATTAATAGGCTGAGTGGGTAAGTTTTGTTATATCCTTTCTTTAATTGGATAGATTGATCTTAAACGATTAAAATAAATATGTTGTGGAGATGGTAATTCAATATTGATACACTTTCTCTCCAAATCTAAACGGGATTATCATATGATATGTAATCTGAAGGGTTAAAAATGGATTCTCAAGATGTTAATACGAGGTCAGAGGAGGATTTGAGAGGATAATTGGGATTGGCCCCAAATCACCTTGCTGCAGATTGTGGAGTATTTCGAGTGTAGGAGGACTGATTTGGGGGATTACCAAGAGATGGGGTTAATTTGGATTATTAAGGATCAGATATGGAAAATTTTACAGGTACGATCTCATTTTAAATGTTGTGATTACCGGAATCGGAGGAATATAATTTGGCATACTCATGAATGGAGTACAGTAGTTAATAGAGGAAATCATTTGGGACTGGTCACTATAGGTAGCGGGAGCAATAGCTGATGTATTGCATATTTCAGAGAAATATATTTGGTTTCCTATTTTTCTCAAGATATCGCTTATCTCACTCTAAAAATGTCTCAATCAGGCTGCATTGGTTTCAGAAAGGGTGGCAACAAAGGTAAAGAAACATTGGGTTCAAGGCTGAAGACTATTGTGCCGTGTTTTGATAATGCTGGACTGATACGAGGCTACTCACGGACCCTTATAGGAAGATGCATGAATTCGGTAGCACAAGACATGAATTCTTTGTTGTTCATGATGCCAATGATCTGGAAGATCAAATGGTTGGAGCAGACATTGGTATGGAACGGTACTAATTTGATTTTGATGAGGAGAAGGATATCAAGGTGGTACTGCAATTGAAGCTATATCATTTTGATGGTTGGATGGTAGTGCTTGTTTGATGGGAACCGGTGATGGATTCAAATTACCCATCAACACTCATGTTTTGGGTATCCTTTTACACTTCTGGGCTGAGCCGACTTTCAAGACCATTGATGAAGCTACATGAGAGGTGAAAGCCATGGATTTAGATAGGGGCAGGGTGCAGCTCAAGTTTAATATCTTCAAAACCTTAGTCTTTGATATAACGATGGAGTTTCATGATGGAGCTGAGACATTGTTGCTGTTTCAGTATTAATTGTTACATGGCTCATGTAGAGAATGTAACAGCCTAGGACACGAGACACGCAAATGCCCTACTCTATACCTGAAAGAGAGAACGGAGGGAAAAGGCTCGACCCAAAAAGGAGGATATGGAGGATGGCATGGTGAGTTACAAAGTGGTTTTGGAAGGAAAAAGGACTAATCATGGTAATAAAGGGGAGCTAGTCAGGGAGTTTTCGGAAACCCTGAAGAGTAAAGGAAAGGTCTCTGAGTTTAGAAGGGAGAGGAGTGCTACACTTCATAGAGATGGTAGAACAAAATAGAATAACGAAAAGCAGGGAGGTTTCCGGGTACAGCCGAGGTATGTTCATCCACAGGACACAGGCTCCCGCTTTGGTGGAATGTCACGAGGGATACAAAAGAATCCATAGAGTGTTGTTATCAAGAAAAATAACACAATAGAGGCTGCGGATTTGGAACAATTAGCAGAGATGTCACTTGACAAGTGCATTAAGTTCCCACACAACATTCGACAAAAATGGTCCGTAAAGCAATTGATTTTGAGGAAGTGCTGCTCTCGGTATGGGTGATTTGGGAAATATGATTGATATGGTGGTGATGATTGAGCCCACAGATGAAGTAATGCAGGAGATGAGACCTTTGACATAGCCAAAGATGAGTTAATTGATTAAAATGAGGATCTCTTGGACTCGGGGGAAAATGCTATAAATGTGGATGATTTACTTGAGGTCTTTGATGATCAAGCAAAGATAGAAGCATATATTTTGGGAGAGGTACATATTGCTACTTTGACACATGAAATCTTGGATGATAATAATGAATTACTGGAAGAGATAGGGAAAGAGGAAACAATTCTAGGAGAACCAGGACATGCGCAAGTGGCTGTTAGAGGATCAACTAAGGGGAGAGTGAAAAAGAGGCTTTTCCGGTGATCTATTGGAGTGAGAGGGATCTCAAGGAAGCTGTTACATGTTACCACACCAAAGAAGAAGGGGACATACAGACATGTTAAAAGGGCCGGCGCATTACAGGTGTGGAAGCCTAACGGTACGGCTGAGGGGCCGAATGATCAAACTTGTGTTTAATGGGAATATTGAGTTGGAATTATCAAGGTTCGGATAATAAGTATACAATAAGCTATCTCAAGTAGATTTGAAGGTAATTTAGACCAGATTTTCTTTTTCTTTATAAAACTAAGCAATGTTCTAGTTTTGTAAAAAAATTTCAATTTCATTTTTGTTATGATTCTATGCATACGGTTGATCCATGTGGAGCTAGTGGTGGTTTTGCTCTGTTTTTTTAATAAACCATTTGATGTTTAAATTTTATTTTCTTATAAATGACTTATTGATATTGAGGCATAGTTCGAAGGGAACTTAATTTACATGTCTTTTGGATATGGCGATCCAGTCCCAAAACTTAGATATTTGGTTTGGGAAAGAATAAACAGAACAAGATTAACAAGACATAATTCGTGGTTTTTAATTGGAGATTTTAATGATTCTATGGGTAGTTATAAAAAACAAGGAGGGGTGCTGAGACAGGCTTCTTCTTTTATTAGTTTTAACACTATGATTAATAACCGCGAACTCATAAAAATTTCCGAACCAAGGGAATATGTTGGCATGGAAAGGAACACATAACGGATAAAACGTGCAGTGTAGACTTGATCGGGGTCTTGCAAACGAGGAATGACATGATTTATTTCTATTTTCATATCTGAAGTACTTGAGGGTGATTGGATCAGACCATCGATCTATTATTACAACAATTAAATAAAAAAAAGTGAAACATCGATGGTATTTTAGATTTGATAAGTGGTGGATTGAGCAAGATGGTATAATGGATGCAATAACAAGGGGATGGCGTTTTGACTTATTGAATTCGAGAAGCTCACTAGTTTGTAGAATTACCGCACGACATGAGATTTTAAAATGCTGAAAGGAGAGCTAACCATATGGAAGGGATAAAATTGAGAACCTCCAGAGAATCATCAAAGATATTCAGATGGATGAGACAAGAACACAAGAGGAGCTGAATGAAATAACACAAAAGCTGAAGGATGTGTATTGCGACGAAGAACAATACTAGAAATAAAAGAGTCGAAATTTGTGAAACAAAAGTGGAGATCTTAATAAAAATGTTACCATGCCACAACAAAGCTGTGCCGGATTATCAACAGGATTGTTGGGCTCTACGATCAGCAGGATGTATGTGTGGACAGGAAAAATAAGATGGAGAAAGTTACGGTGGATTACTTCAATGAGTTATTCATATCTACTTTCCGAATGGGAATTGCGGAAGTACTGACGGTGATAACACCGTCTATATCTACCATCGATAATGAGGAATTAACTAAGACGTTAACGGAAGAGGAGGTTAGGAAGACGCTGTTTATGATAGACCCAGGAAAGGCTCATCGGCCTGATGGCATGACAGCTCTAATTTTTCAGAAATATTAGGGTGCTATTAAAGATGATGTTGTACATATGTTTAATGATTTCACACGGACATGACCTTTTGACAAGCGTCTTAACGTTACAAATATCTGCCTTATCCCAAAGATAGAGCGACCAACCAGGATGGCAGAGTTACAGCCCTTTAGTCTATGTAATGTGGGTCACAAAGTTATTTCTAAGGTCTTGTGTCAGAGGTTTCACAAATGACTGCCAAAGCTTTTGCATTGGATCGACTTATTTAAGATAATATTTTAATCGGACAAGAAATATTCATGGATTAAGGACAAACAACTCTTGTAAGAAGGAGTTTATGGCGGTAAAAACAGATACGAGCAAAAAAATATAATCGTGTCGAATGGGATTTTTTGGAACATTTACTTTGATAAATGGGGTTAGCGGGCAAATGGATTACGTGGATGATGTGGTGTATTGGTTCCGTCAATTATAAAGTTCTCATTAATGATCATCCAAAGAGGACATATAACACTGACATAAAACTGAAATAAGGTCTAAGGCAAGGGGACCTTTTATCTCTATATATGTTTATTCTATACGAAAGTGCTCATCTCAAATTTTAAAAAATAACAGAAATGATCATCTAATTACGGGTATGAAGATTGTTAGGGCTAGTCCATCGGTTTCACATATGTTTTTTTGTGGATGATTGTCTTTTCTTTTGTAAGTCAACACAGAAGGAATCTACCACCTTACTGAATATTTTAAAACAATATGAGGTAGCTTCAGGGCAACAAATAAAGTTTGACAAGTCATCAATTCAATTTGGACATAAAATGGATACAAATATGATAAATATGGTACATATTACACTAGGTATTTCTAGTATTAGCATATGGGTACTTATCTCAGAAATCCAGAAAGTATAGGAGAAGCAAGAACAAAGATTTTTTTTTTAACTTTCTCTTAGAAAGACAACAAAAAAGGGTTAATAGTTGGACATCTAGATTATATCAAAAGGGAAAGGAAATTCTTATTAAATCAGTGACAACAGCCCGACGTACGCTATATCATGCTTTAGATTACCAAAGATGTTAACTTCTAAACTAACAAGTATAGATTAGCACCTGCAGAAATGGCTGAGCTGAAGAAGCAACTTCATAACTTGCCGGATAAAGGGTTTATTCGTCCAAAAGGCTCGCCATGGGGAGCACCTGAGCTATTCGTGAAGAAAAATGACGGTAGCTTCAGACTCTGTATTGATTATAGAGGTTTGAATAAGGTGACTATAAAGAACAAGTACCTTTTACCGCGGATCGATGAGCTGTTGGACCAGCTGCAGAGTGATTAACCAAGAGCCCAAAAACTCTTGTATTAATTTGTGGCACGCCCGGTGGGACGCCAAATTGATACAAGAGTTTTGAGTCAATTTCTCAATCACCCTGCTTGTACTAATCAGTTGTAGCATAACATAAAGTTTTTATCAATCCAAAGGAGTTATGAATAGATGCCAATAGAATTGTGAGCAGAAAGCTATAAGTCAAGTGGAATCAAGCAAGTTTGTTGTTTACACAACTAAGACTATAAACCTAAGTGATCAAGCACCAAACAGAATTGAAAAGAGAAGAACTTAGCAATGATCAAAAGCAAAACAGAGCAATAAAACAGAGCACTTAAAGCAAAATTCAAAATTCAAATAAGAGAAAGCAAGTTCCTAGATGTGGTTATTGACTTTGGAGAATTCAAAGTCAAGACTTAAGCTGTTTCAAACATCATTGACAATGCAAACAAGCAATCAACGCTAATTCCTAGACATAGAGTTCAAAATCAAGCAAGTTAAGTCCAATCTCTTGACAAATAACCCTTTGCTAATCATCCTAACAAGAACTAACTCTCATTAGTGCTAGAACAATCAACAAGTATGCAAAACCAACTCTATTCAAGTCAAGATACTCCTCAAACAGTCAATCTCTTGAGCTAAGGCCAGTAAATCCTCTATTAAACAAGATCAGCATTTCATCAAACACTTGGTGGGCAAAAGATGAAGCCTAAATCTAGATTCATGTGATCAAGACAAATCTAGCTTAAGAACAGAATAATAGAGAGGAATCAACCTAATTAAGCACTAACAAACCCTAATCAAGCCTCTAAATTCCCCTAACCTACCACATCTAAGAACCTTAAAAGATCTACTCACTCATCATCATAGAAAACACCAAATCACAAGAGTAAATGATGTTAAACATGATTAAGAGGGAGATTAGAGAAGAAATTAAAAGGAAAATACAAAACTTTGATTAAAATGATAGACTTGTTCTTACAAAGACTGGAAAACCCTTAAAACTAAGCAAGGACAAGACTAGATTCTAAAAACATTAGATCAAGCCTATTTATAGTAAATGACAAAAACCCTAAAATAATGGCAAAGATGTAAATAAAAGGAAGTTCAGACTGGCTTACATCGGTCACA